TGTGTTCAAAAGAGCTAAAAAAGTATAATAATTTTTAATTGTGTTTATAAAAGTCCCTGGCAGGGCCTGCCTAACATGTGCAAGGTCCAGAATTCAATCCCCAGCAATGCAAAATGAATAAGTAAAAGTCTCTGAAGAACCTCCCCTCAGGTGTGCTTGGCCAGAATTTGGTGTCACCATGCCCACCTCAAAAGATAAAGAAGAGGACTCAAAAAGTAGCCAGAATATTCCACTTCTGAAGGTAGTTTCTGTGAATAAAGAAAAAGAGTAGGTAGATCATTGTTGATTTCACAACCAGCAGTGTTTGTCAATCTATAAATATATCATAAGCTGCTGACTGTTCTTGGGAACACATAGAGGTGTAAAACTGAGTAATAACCTGTCACATCATCACATGAACACCCTTCCACATACTCGGTTATGACCAGAGAGCCATAGGGTCTCCTCTTTTCCATCACTCCACGCTGGGGCACAGGCCCAAGTGGAGCAATTTCTCCAGCCTTAAAGACCTCAGAGAAGAAGCCATTATTCTTGAACTCATTTGTTAGCCAGAAGACGTTCCTATTTTCCAGAAAGAGCAATTTAAAAAAATTTTTATTAGTACATGTTACATTCATTATGAGACATTGGTACATGTACATAACACATCTCAGTTCTTTTTTTCCCCCTTCTCCATTCTTTTTAAAAAATGTTTTTGGGCTGGGGATTTAGCTCAGTTGTTCCACCGCCTGCCTTGAAAGTGTAAAGTCCTGAGTTCGATCCCCAGTACCAAAAAAAAAATTTTGCTAGCATCAGATTTATTTATTTTATAAGTTTTTATCAAGTTAATTATCATAAACACAGATTAACAGCCAGACATATGAAACAATTATACTAAATCAAGGTACACTTTAGGAAGAACAATTTTTGCCCTTGCATGACTTATAATCAAGGTGTAGAGGAAAGCACATACATGTTAATAAGTAAAGGGCACCATTAGGCAATACCCCTCCAGGGCAGTTTTATTTATTCATCCCACTAATCTCAACCATTCTATGGCATTCTATGTACTGTGAATGCCAACAAAAAATAAGAAATCAAAGTCCCTATTCTAAGAGCTTACATTCTAGAATGTGGACACAAAGATAATAATGCACAAAAAGGGTAGTGGTAAGATCTGTGGCGGCCAGCTGTGGTGGCACACACCTGTGATCCCAGCACTTAGGAGGCTAAGGCAGGGAAGTCACTGTGAGTTTGAGGCAGCCTGGGCTACATAGCGAGTTCAAGGCTAGCCTGATCTATGTACCAAGACTCTGTCTCAAAAAAAAAAAAATCTGTGGAGACTGTGGACAGGTGATGTAAAACAGAGAGTGGGGCAGGAGCTCTTTCATCCAGAAGGGTCAGAGAAGGCCTGTCTTCAAAGGTAACATTCAAGCTGAGACCTGAATGATGAGAAGACAGCTGTGAAAACATACGAGGGAAGGGCTTTGCAGGCAAAGGGAACAACCCACAGAAAGGCTCTAAGATGGGAAGGAGGAAGAGAAAAAAAGATCAGTGAAGCTACAGCACAATGAGTAAGGGAGAGAATGGCCCATATTAGGCATGACCAATAGGCCACAGTGGAAATTTGAGATTTATTCAAGGTGCATATGTCAGTGGAGCTGTGAGTGGAGGAATATGGACTACTAAGATGGGATGTCTTTAGTGCAGAGGCTACTGGTTTGCTGTGGGTGGTGAACAAAAGAGTAGGAGCCAGCCCTGTTGATCATGGCCAAAGCAGGCTGTAAGCAGTTCAGGCTGAAAAGAGTTAACCCCACCATTGGGTTGTTTTAAGAAGTGAGTCTAACCAAGGTCAGAGTGATTTGCACCCAAGTTCTGTTCCCAAAATTAAAACCTTCTTAACTGAAAAGACAAAGTTAATCTAACATTAACCACAACCTATATCTGGTCTGTTCTGTTCCGAACACAGGAATGCTTTGTCTCTTCTTTTACAAGCCGTGTCTGTGTCAGCAACTTATCTCTAGCAACCACACTAGCCTCCTCACCCTGACTCAACAATTATTGTGTCACCTGTTCATGGCCTTTGTTTGCTCAAGCACTGACTATCCCAGTTCTCTGTCTCTCTCTTTCTGATTCTTTCTCTAAGTCTTTCTTCTTACCTTGTGTTGTTGCACTGAGCAGGATATTGGGGTTCTCTGCAGGGGTCTTCACTAAAAGAGGACTCTGGTCTAAGCCACAAGGTGTCTGGTAAGCCACTGATGGATATGGGTTTTTAAGTGGTTTTGGCAGCCTTGTGACATTTATAAATCCAAGTAATTCAGAGGTGACATTTATAAATCTAGGTAATTCAGGCAGGAAAGACAACTGTGGTAAGGTACTAAAGAAACTTTTCAAGAGGAGGCATAGGAAGGTGTTCTATGTGAAGGGAAATAAGAGAAAAACCTAAAGCCAGGCTATCTGTATTGGAAAATTGGGGAGACAGGGCTGGAGAGATGTGATGAGATCATATTGTGGACATTGTAAAGTTCATTGAATAAATGATTCCTCTTGTCAGTCTTTGGCAGTCACATGGTAGCCCTGGAGTTGGCAGGGTGAATGGCAGGTGCCTCAGGCAACTTCTGTAGGTTCCTGTCAAGAGGGCTCACTCAAAGGCATTAACTACTTGGGATAATTTAGCAAAGCTAGGGGACTGCTCCCTCCCAATAGATTTAGGAGCAGTAAGGGACCCAGAGATGAATAGGCACTCAGGAGAAGTCAGAATGAAGTCATATAAGTTGGAAGAATAAACCAAAAAGCCATCTTACTAATGTACAGTGGAAAATATCATTTTCTGGATACCCAGATGCCCCTGTCTTCTATTCTCAGATAGTATGTCATTAAATTAGTTAAGTTGGGTGAGACTGGACATGGAGCAAGTGTGAAGGGACATTTCACCTAAATTCCCTTCCCTCTCATGCCTAATTGTTCCTGGCTTTATTCAGCCTTTTCCTCCTGAATAATGCTGACTCACCACTGCCAGGGTTGGTTCTCAGACTTTCCAACAAAAAAACTTACAAAAACTAGAACTACTTTGCCCTTGTGCAGACCACTTTGCACACATCATCATATTTAGTTCTTACAAGCTTATGAGATAAACTCTCTTTTATAGGGAAGGCAACTGAGATTTAGAAGGTTATGGACCTTACCTAAGAACACAAGTGCTCTTGAATGACACAAGCTAGACTCACTCAGGTCTGCCTGACTTCCCCAGAAGCCTTTTTTCCTACATTCGTTTGTCTTTGGTCATTGTCTTTTCTCTTGTAGCCCTGTCCTCCAGACTCAGAACATATTCCATCCTCTCCTATGTAACTCTAAGGGCAACCTCAGTTTCCAGATCACCACATTTTAGATAAGACCTCAAAAACTCTCCACAGCAAAATTAAAATCTTTAAATACCTCCACATTCATCCAGACTAGAACCAACCGCCTTAGCACAGGCTGCAAGACTCCCCACAGCCTGGGCTTATGTCCTCTGCATATCTATGCTCAGGCCAGCATCAGGATCACTGGGGGCATTAAAAATGGACATGTGATGGCCCCATTTTCTCCAGCCTCTGGCCTGGCCTGTGGGATTATTAATAGTTATGATAAGCAACATAGCTATTTACTCTTGCTAGTCATGGTTCTAAATGTTTTACACGTATTAATTCACTAAACTCACAAATTACCCTATGAAATTGATACTATTAAGTAGACCTACTTAATAGATGAGATGATTGAGGCATAAAGAGTGTAATTAACTTGCCCAGTATCATTAGCAAGTAAGTAGTGGAGGTGGATTTAAATCCAGATAATCATATCAAGAGCTATCTATATGTTGTGTCTATTGCAAACACCCATCACCATTAGATTTCAGATCCTGAATTTGGATGCTTGCTTGATGAAAACAGGCTACCAAAGCCTGACTTCCAGTTGTTAGGGCAGAGGAAAGAGAAAACCAACTGAGTCTGCAGGCAAAAACTTGACTAAGCCCTTCAGAGTGTTACTAGGCCTGGGTTAAACCCACACAACCCCAATCTACTTCATGAATCCTGACACAACATTTGCCCAAAATGAACAAAGAAGGAATGTCAGTTTTGACATCAGTTCCTTAGAAATTCCTGATTCTGGGCCAGGGATTTAGCTCAATGGCACTGCACCTGCCTCACAAGAACAAGGTCCTGAGTTCCATCCCCAGGACTGAAAAAAAAAATTCCTGGTTCTTTCTTCCTCAGCCCCACCCATCGTATCATATTGCTCACAGTGGATTTCATAAGTTTAAAGGCAGTCTTATTTCTCAATATGAGAAATAAAAGTTTTGTGAAGGGATGGTCTATATTTAGCCATTTTAAAGTAGCCTAACCTAAAACAGTTTGCATGTGTATGAATTTGTGTGTTGATGTGTGGTGCAATAACTATCAGCAAAGGAGGAGGTGGCAGACTGGCATAGATCATAGGCAGAAGAATTTTAAAGGGAAGTAGAGAATTCTGAAGGTGATGGGTTAGCCTGCTGTATTCCAGGACTACTTACAAGCTTTAAGCAACATGGGGGAAAATTGCCACCTCATCCTTTCCAGCTCAGCTCTGCCCAGGACTGTTAGGGATCTCTGATGCTCTTTATTTTGATATGTATTCCTAATAGTTCTTGGGCTTTGGGGTCTGCCTCAGGAAGCTTCCCTGAGAGACAGTTGAGCCACAGGGAAAGGTTTCAAAGCCCAGGGTAGAAGATGTCATGATGGTAGTAAACATTTATCCATTTATCCAGTGTGACACTTTCTCTTTAGTCCTTAAAGGTAGGGCACAAGAGGTTACGAGGTTGAGTAATTTGCCCATATCCTACAGCTAATGATGGGGTGGGGGGGCGCGAATCCTTGGCACATGCTTTGAACCATGGTGGGATTACTGGTGGCCAGTGTCAGGAACCAGCCAAAGCAGATATCCAGTGAGCAAGATACCAGGATTTTTCTGGGTACAATGGAATTGACCAATATTTGCACTCCTAGGGAGGAGTAATGAGCAGGCAGGTGTGGACAAACACTGCAGAAGAGCCTCCCCTGGGAAGGACATAATCCAGAACACAAAGCTCCCCAGGTACAGCATGGCGGGTAAAATCCTAAATCAAGCTGCCTACACCACACCCTAGCTCTGCCACTCAAACCTATCTGAACATACATGGGGTTTAGGGCAGGATAACAAATGGGAGCCACAGACCATCTGTCTAAGTATGGTATTTAAACTAGCTTGAAGTTAGCAATAAAGCCAACAAGATATTAAGTAAAATATATTTTATCCTACTTTGAGACATAAGCTTCACAACTCTGAAGGACAGGTTTGAGTTTAGAGTTCTGGAACTGAATGAAGAGAAAGTGGCCCCAGCCCATGGTTCACTCCTTCTCTTCCCACACCCTATTCAGTTGCCCTTTTTAAGGAACCCTGCCCATAGCATGGACTCTGGGACTGCATATTCAAGCTCTGTCACTCCCACAAAAAGCTTCATCATGGCCATTGTTTGGGCCCATTCAGGTGTTGTGGGAAACCAGAGGAGAACTGAGGCCTAATGGCCTCCTCTGTGAGCACAAAGGAGAAAACCTGCACTCAGGGGTGACTACATATTACAAGTTCTAGGGAAAAGTTAAGAGTGCTGAGATTAAATTGCTTACTTGAGTATGTACTAATGATATTGGAAAGCAGATGAATCTTATGTTACTTTGATTGGTTGTACCCGGGTGTGGGTGAATAAAGGCAAAATGAGCCAAATGCTGGGGACTCCTCTGTCTACTAGAGGGAAGAGCCCCCTGGCTGCCTTAATGTTAAACTGACTCTGTGTCTCTTTGCCATTCATCCATGTTTGCCACCGGAGAATGAAGTATCAGATCTAGGTCCCCCACAAGTGGCACCTGTGTAGGGGAAGCTCGGTGGAGTGGGCTGGCTCCCCATGGATAGCACCTGGGGCAGGAGGGACCTGAGACCAGTGGTGAATCCTGGCCAGGTGGGTCAGCTACAGTTGGCAACCAAAAAGGGACTTGAGACCGGGGTCAACTATAAGATGGCAAAATCCACCCAGAGGAAGGTGGACCCCAGGGAACAGGCCTGGAAGGCAGACTTGTGGCTGTCTACACTGGGGATTCCGCAGCTCCCCCATACTTGAGTGTGGTCCAGAGGGGAGCAACACCACCAGATGAGGGCCAGAGTAAGGCCTTCTAAAGCAGGGCCCCTCCCATCTGGATCTAAGGAGGTTGTTGCCACCATTTCTTTATTGTGAAACTTCAAGCACTTTAATTAATCTGTCTGTGCTTTGCTTTCCTTGGCTGTAAAACTAAGATAATCAGTGAGTTTATTCAGTGTGGGTAAAATGTTTAGAACAGTACTTGGAAAATAGTGTTACATGAATGCTAGCCATTAAATGTGATTACTATTTGGGCTTAGTCAGGTATCCTCAAGTTGTGAACAGATTCAGTGCAGAAAATATTCGTTTCCTGACTGGTGATGAGCAAATGCTATTACTGGCGACCTGGAGAATTCAGTCCCCAGGCCAAAGTTTGTAATAGGAACAGAAACTGTGGAAAGGTGGGGCTTGGTACAGAAAGGAATGGGACAGAGGGCAGATAGGTCATGCACTGATAATCTGCTCAGGCAAGGGACCTTGCCTTTATTCATTTCACCTTCCTGGGGCAAGAGGGAAAGAGGGAGGAGGAAAATATTTAACAGGAGAGTGAAGAAATAAACACTATCATTACTATTAGAGGTAAGGGGAGTAAAAGAAATGAGTGGGTATATTGAGAGAAAATGACTAATGAAAGGAGTAGGGGGCAGATGAAGAACTATTTTTAATAGGATGGTCACAGAAGACTCCACTGAGGATGTGACAAAACTGAGATCTGAATGAGGACAAACTGGCTATGTAAAAAATCATAAAAAGGGTGTTCAGGGGTCCCATGGGGATTCTTTCCAGGTTCTTGGTGTCCTGAACAAAGAATTGGAGAGGATACACAGAAAGGCAGTAGAAGTGTACATTTGTTGAAGGCAGAAAAAAGATATGCTCTATAGGGTGAGAGGGGATTTCAAGGATAAAGGAAAGGGGTCTTTTCTATCCAAAATTCCTGGGTTGGTTTCCCCTCATGCAAATAAAGCATGAGAATAGTTGTCCTATTAAAAACTCACCTGGCCTGGTGCCAGATTTAAACTCCCCTATAGAAAGAGTTGCCTGGCTCCTGGCACATGTAAATGAAGGGTTGAAAATAGCACTTCTCTGATTGGTCCCACAAACAGTGCCAGATTCAAATGAGGGATTCAAAATATTGCTTCTAGGCAGAGGAGGTGGGCTTCTTGGGCTGCTGTACCACTGCCCCAGAGTGCCGAGGAGCAGAGCCCCACCCCCCCGTATAGAGGAGGTGGGCAGAGCAGGTGCCAGCGCATGCCCCCCCCTCCAGTGGCTGTGCCAAGTCATTACCTGGATCCACACTGCAGAGTTGCAGGGGTCATAAAGGACATTGTTCTGAGCTCAAGAAGATAGAGCAGAAATGAACAAAAAAAAGAGGGCCTCTCTGAGGATCCTTGATGAAAATTGAAGCCCACCAAAAAAGTGAAGAAAATCTCTGCAATGAAGGCACACCAGACCACCTTAGTTGGGGGAGCAGCGGTGTGGACCAGAGCAGTGTGGCTGCAAGCAGACCCTAGCCAGGGCTCTGCCCTAATCCCAGAGGCTGAGGCACATCAGCCTAAGCCAAGGGCCCACCTGGAAAAGAGCTGCACAGGAACACAAGCAATGGCCAGAGGTTTGCCCCGATACCATTGGTAAGTGCGCAAGACCCTAGCCAGAAGCTTGCTCACAACAGCAACTTGGGTGCAGAGCCCCCAGCCAAAGGCCCTCCCAGACAACAGGTACATAAGTTGGAACGCCCTAAACAGAGGCACACCTAGATACCATCCCAAGTGTGCACAGGCCACACCCAGAAGCCCGCCTAGACAACAGGTCAGCTCAGGGATCCAGAAGGCAACCATTCTGAAACCAGGAATTGGTGCACTGGTGAGCAGCAGAGAAAAGGCCACTCAGTGGCTCGCTGAGAATTGAAGACCACTGGGTGAGCAAAAAGTTCCCTCAATAAAGGCACAGCAGGCTGCATCTGTTGAAATGAGAAGACATGTAAATAAGTCTAAAAACCAGTCTTCCAGATCACCTAAGGCAACCCCAAAGGGAAACGAGATGGAACAATCTGATACTCAACCACCTGGACTCCCTGAACTGGGAACAAAAGAGGAGCTGGAAAATTGAAATCAGAAATAATTTCTCACATAACAGCAGAGATTGTGCCCATAGTGCAAGACACAATTAATAAATCTAGAGAGGACACAGATAAAAAAATAGAGGAGCTGAGGAACACAATGGAATCCCAACATAGGAAACAAATGGAATCCATAAAACAGATGCAAACAGATTTCCAAGAGATTAAAAACTCCATCAAAAGTCTACACAGCAGAATGAACCAATGTGAGGACAGAATTTCAGATATAGAAGATAAGATTGCAATTAGTGACCAGGAAAAGAAAAATTGCTTTAAAATTGTAAGGGACCACAAGAAATCAATCCAGCACCTGCTAGATGATGCAAAGAAGAATAACATAAGACTGATTGGAGTCAATGAAGCAACAGGAGAGAGTGCAGATGACATAAAAAAACTGTTCACAGAAGTGATGGCAGAAAACTTCCCAAGGAGGGGAAAAGAACTTGACATACAGATAAGTGAGGCATATAGGACTCCAAATAGCCTTGATCAAAAAAAAATCTACACACAGGCATATAATAGTTAGGATTCCAGAAAGCCAACAGAAGAACAAAATTCTACAAGCAGTGAGAGAAAAGAAACAAATCACATACAAAGGAAAGCCCATCAGAATCACAGCAGACCTCTCAATGCAAACCCTCAAGGCAAGAAGAGTTTGGAGTGATGTGTTTCAAGCCCTCAAGGAAAACATCCTCCAACCCAGATTGATGTACCCTGCAAAACTATCTTTCAAAATTGATGGAGAAATAAGATACTTTCATGATAAAGAGAACCTTAGGAACCTCAAGAATAACAAACCAACACTCCAAAAAATTTTAGACAATATCCTAGGAAAAGACAAGGAGGATCACAACCCCAGGAAACCCAGCAGAATAAATCCATTGGGGGTGACAAGTTAAACGCAAAGGGGGAGAATCCAACAAAAAGAAAAGTCATGACATGGCTTTTAAAACTTTTAACTTCATCTTCCTAATGAGTGTATAATTCAATCTTATTATTGTACTGATTAGCATTTTTCTGATTCTAGTGTTGCACACGTTTCCTTGTGCTGTACTGGCTATTTATCATCTTCTTGTGTACTCTTTTTAATTGGGTTGTCTATTAATGAGCTGTAAGAGTTCTTTATATATTATGGTCATAGGTTACATGTATTATAAATATGTTCTGTTTAAGGACTACTTTTCATTTTCTTAATGATGCCTTTTAAAGTTCTAAATTTTGATGGAATCTCATTTATCAATTTTTTTCTTTTATACATCATGTTTTTGTATCCTAGGAATTTCTTGCCTACCCTAAATTCATAAACATTTTCCCTTATAATTTCTTCTTAAAGTTTTATAGTTTTAGTCTTTCATATTTAAGTTCATAGATCCTTTCAAGTTATTTTATGTATGGAAATAAAGGGTTGACATTAATTTTTTACATACAGATACCAGATGTTCTAGTACCATTTGTTGAAAACACTATCTTTTCTGCTGCTCTTGAGTTGAGTTTATGCTCTATAAAATGTTAATGTTGGGCTGGGGATTTAGCTCAGTGGTTTTGCAGCCTGCTGTGCAAGCGCAAGGACCTGAGTTCGATCCCTGGTACCAAGAAAAAAAAAATAACAACAACAACAACAAAAAATAAAATGTTAATGTTAAATAATCTTTCAAAAATCAGTGGACCATATATGTGTGGTTCTATTTCTAGATTCTCTGTTTTATTCCATTGATGTATATGTCTTTCCTTACACCAACATTGCCTTGATTACTGTAGCTTTAGAGGAAGTCTTAAAGTTAGGTAATAAATGTCTTCCAACACTGTTATTTATTTTCTTTTTAGTTTTCTAGGTCCTTTATACTCCTACATAACTTTTAAATTTCAATATCCAACTCTTCATTTATAGCAAGTATACATAGACCTAAATTTTTATATATACCTTGTGTTTTCTAATTCTGCTAAATTCTAATACAAATTCTAGGCACTCCTAGAGATTGCTTAGTATTTTCTTTGTAGGTGATCATTTCATCTACATATAAAGATTTTACTTCTATCTTGCCAATCCTATGCGATTTGTTTCTTTTTATTGTCAGACTGTTTTGGTTTGGGCCTATGTTTCAAAGTTTGATAGATAGATGAAGAGTAGGGATATCTGCTCTTGTTCCCCAAACTAGGGAGAAAGCATTGTATCTTCTCCATTCATATAAGGTGTTTGGGCTGGAAGTATGGAGTACATGTCTTTGATCTGTTGAGAAGGTTCTGTTCTACTTCTAGTCTCCTGATAGTTTTTACCATGAACAGCTGTAGAATTTAGTCCAATATTTTTTCTGTGACTACTGCTAGGATCATATGGCTTTTTCCTTTCCTCTGTTAAGATGATGACTTATGGGGGTGGATTTTCCTTCCAATGCTGAACCAACACTGCCATCCCTATAGTGAAACCACTTTCTACATACTGGCAGATCTGACTTCTAATAGTTTGTTTTGTTAAACACATTTCTATCTATGGTCATACTTTTTTCTTCTATTATCTTTATTCAGTTTTAGTATTAGCAGAATGTTGATTTCCTAAAATGAGGGAAGTGTTCCTTCTTTTTTCTGCTTTAAATGTTTGATATAATTCATCAGTTAAAATGTATATGAGCCTGTTGTTGTCATATAGGTAGGTTTTCAAGCTAGGAATATACTGTCTTTAATAGGTTCTATTCAAATT